TCACGAGTAGTTAAATATGTAAAAGAATACCTCTGTCAAACACCATTCACAGGAAAGGATGCACGCGCTGAACCGTTCGCGGTCTTGGGAAGCAACACGGCTGCGTTTGCCCCGGGACTGTCGGTTTGATTTTCAAACATTAAAAACTTAGCGACCTCGTTGAAGCATGTGAATAAGGACGCAGACATGACGCCAACACGGTGACGCCAGCAGACAGCACGTCCTTACTTCTTTCGTTGCCCGCTGCAAGGCAATTGCACGCCAGTTTTCCGGTCAAACGCTATGGTAAAAAATTACGTATACTTGAATGGTATAAATAAATATCGGGAGACGCTTGTCAGTCCTTTTTAGGGCCTTTTCCCTTGACATCGAGCCACCCAGCGAGTGCACATGGGCCAACACCGCTTACGCCCCCCCAGCGCGCAGACATGATTTAGCTTAGGGACAAGTAGCGTTGTATTTTTTAAAATACGCACAATAGTTCAAATCTTTACCTCTATATGCCAAAAGATTCACAAGGGCAGAATTCCTAGCATCAGCTGAGCATTTTTTATTCACGTTCTTCCCTTTTCCTTTACGTGCCTGGCGTGCCAACAGGAAGCGGCTTCGTTTTCAAGAGTAGAAACAAAATCAAGTTGGCCGAAATCGGCGAGTCGGGAGCCTGCGCAGTCAAAGGAGGGAAGGAGGGAAGGAGGGGGAGAAAGAGGAGGGAGGAAGAAAGGGAAAGAGGGAGGGGTAGGGGGGGTGGCGGATGAGAACGTGCCAGCGGGGAGAACAAAATAACGCACGGATAACGTCGTCATCTTGGGGCCCGCCAACCCGAACCCCTTTCTGAACCTCCCCCTCACCGGAGGCCGCAGACTGCACATGATATAGGACCCGTCCCTCTCCTCCACCACTTCCTCCCCCACTCGGCGCGGCTCCGACGGCACGATCCTGAGCCCGGTCAGCATTCCTCCATGCTGCGAGCCTGAGAGCCCTCCCAAGGCCCTGTCCGTCTCCCGCCGTCCTTCCTGCTCCATGGACAGGATGCGGCCCAGGTTGTAGAAGGCCGTCGACTCGAAGAGGGAGGAGGGGAAGGATGGATACGAGTGCCCCGCCCCCTCGAGGTCCTCTTCCTCTTCATGAAGGCCTGGACGACCTAGTTGGTGCGCTTCCTGCGCATGGGCCTCCCCCTCATCCCACTGGATCCGGCGGGGAGAGTAGTGCATGCGGACACTCCGCGCGTTGAAGACTCGGCACGCTGAAAGATGGGACCGGTCAATGCTGTGGCGCTTTTCCGACGCGAGAGAGGGAAGACGACAACCGGTGCTGTGTGGCCGAAGCTAGAGGCCTGAAAGCAGCTTATGGTGTGCCTGTCTGCGCGTTGATCGAGGGGGAAAGAGGGAGTTGAGAAGGAGGATGGCACTTCTTCCACTTTTTCTCTGTGGGTGCCAAGGGAGCAGGCACAGTGTCGAAAATTATGACGGACAAGATTTTGCAAATGCACCAGCATCACCACACATGCAAGCGTGCCAATGTACGCATTATTGCGTGACACTTGCTGTCGAGGTGCCATGAGGCATGGCAGTAGTGCAAAGTTCCAGCCTCCCCCTCCTTCCTCCTCGCTCACTTCTTTCAGTGACGCGTAGTTACCACGCCAGGGGAGACTCAACACCACGCATGCCGCAAGGACGCCAAATCCTAGCTGAAATGCACAGAACATGCATCACTGCCCGCCTCGCGTCCATGGCGTACACGGCAGCCTCGGAAAATGCCAGTCGTGAGGAACCGCACCCTCCGCCCCCGAACACGAAAATGCCCGCTAGATGAGCACCGGGCCCTGTCTATGCCCCAAACAAAAGCAGAGAGCGAGGCTACCACGCGGCGGACATAGTCAGGAAGGGGTCTTACCGGCCGAAAGGTAGCGGGTTGCGTGCGTGCATGTGGGACTGAGACATTGTGGCACGTGTCCAATCCATCTGGCGGGGTTTTTAACCACATAGAATCGAGTGCGGGGCTTTAGGGGGGCAATTGAAGGCGCCACATAGCGGAAAGTTTTATGAAGAGGAATCAGAGCATGGACTGTGGCAAACGATATGGCATAGAACGCTGGATGTATGCTCTCGTACAGATGCCATCGCACATTCATTACACCGCGCGATCAATGTGAAGCATGTGCATTTTCTTCATTTGTAGAGAATGCCTTGACCACGCTAACCCAAAACTCCATTTCGAGCAAACAGATGGAATAAGAAAATTGAAGGACGACACAATCACTGAAACTACGCGCATCGTATACAAAGCAATGTCGTTAGCTTCCTATTCGATTTATACGAGTTCATCTTTTTTTTGTTTCGACGCTCTCCTCGTCATTTTATCAAACGCACCCTCTGCCCTATCCTCTCCAGCACCATGCTCGTGTGCTCTTTGATGAAAAAATGTCCGCCTGGGAACACGTCCACGGCAAAATCTTTCTCGTGTGTCGTCATCTTCACCCATCCCTCCATGATTTCTTTGCTGGCCCGGGCGTCATTTTCCCCCGCGAATGCAACCAGCCGGAAAGGAAGGGCGGGAAGGGGGGTATATACGTAGTTATCGCTAAGAAAGGGAGGAAAAAAGGAGGCGAAGGAGACGAAGGAGGACATGAGATCGGTGGGGGAAAAAAGAGGGTGGAGAAGGAGGGAGGGGAGGGACAAGGAGGAAAGACAAACATGGCGGTGTAGTCGCCTCGAAAGGCGGGGAGGAAGACGTTCATGAGCTCCCGGCTAGCGGCCACCTCGGAGGGGATCTGAGAGGGAGGGAGGCTTGTTCTGA